ATATGGTGTATTTATAACTTATTAAAATATGGTAATTGAGGAGCATGCATGAAGATGTAAATTTGTTGGAAGGTATATTAAATATAATGACAAGTGAATGCTAGTTATTGGAGTGTTCCAACTGAGCTTCATATAGTGAGGGGTCTGCTATGGAGAGTAGGGTCCCCATATTAAGACTAAGTTTTGATCTAGAATCTCTTAGTGTAACCAAGTGTTTACATGTGCCCATGTTGGAATAATAGCATCAATATACTTTCATTCAGTGAGAAATACGCACTTGTCTACATGAGTCCGAAAAATGCCTAAGAAGTAACATAGAGATCTAAAATATGTTATCAAAATCCTCATTAAAGTGTAAGTATGAGATCATTCTTGAGAGTTAAGGAAGAATTGATAATGGTGATCTCATCCATATAGGACAAGTATGCTACATCATTGTCTCATTTTTTTTTTTGATAAATAGATATATGTCACTTTTTCTATAAGAAAATCTAAGTTGTAGATGTACATGGAAACCATTGATACCAAGATCATGAGACTTTTTTTAAGACCAAAGATTGACTTTCATAATATGCAGATGTAGCCAAGGGTAGGTTGGGTTATGGAAACCCGATGATTAGTAGACGTACACAGTTTTGTGATGGTGGGCATATAAAAAGTATTATTATGTAGAACTGGTGTATGTCCTATTTTTGACTCATGTCAAGACTTAGGAGTGTTCATATCATAGTCGGTTTGACAACATGATTGAATGTCTCCTTAAAGTTGATGCTAACATATTCTTATTACTTGTTGACAACTAAAAAGGCTTTATATTGATCGAGTGTTCCATTTGATCTAAACTTGTCCCGAAAAATCAAATGACACTTGAGGATGTTATGTCCCGATATTCATGGGATAAGTTCTCGAGTTCCCTATTTAAGTAAAATTAGTATATTCAGATGTCACAACATCATGCCACAACTTTTTAAGTATGGAAGCCTTTGGGTTGGAAGGGGATAAATGATATAGATTGAGTGTGGAGATTATGATAAAGATTTGGTTTGGTAATCTATGTTTTAAAGAGACTTTGCATTGGATGAGAGGAAGGAGGGGATGGTGGTGGAATATGTGACGGGGAAGGGTAGTATATATACAAAAGGATTTGATGGAGCTTCTGATGAAGGTTATTAAGTAGGAGGTGTTTGGTGATGTCTGGGGGTAGAGAAGGACATAGAAGTGGTTTGATAAGGACCAGAGGAGGTTGAGGAGTCGGTTAATGGTGTGTTGGACGTAGTGAGCAGTTGCAGTGGGCTAATGACAATATAATTGGCTAAGTATAGGTTGTTGGATCCTTTTGGTAGGAGTTTGGTGATGGTTGGTTATTTTTGTAGTAAATGAGGTAAAGGTTTGGTTCTTTGTAGTCATAAAGTAATATATTTTGATGATGTTGAGTATGGAAAAATATAGTCATACAACATAACATGTCAAAAAATAATGGGTGTGGATTTGGAGAATGGTGGACATGGTAGCCCTGATGGTTATAGAGGTAGCCTTGAAAGAGACATGGAGTGGAGATTGGTGCTAATTTATGAATGAAAATTGAAGATATATATATATATATATATATATATATATATATATATATATATATATATATATGTTTTCATATAAACTTGGCCTATTTAGTTTTCTATGAAAGAACTCAACATGTGGAAAATTATAATGAGATGTAATAGTTCTGATGAACTATATCCTCTTACTCAAACAAACCAATGCTCTTTATATCTGCACCCAATGCTCTTTATAAAGAGCATTGGTTTGTTTGAGTAAGAGGATATAGTTCATCAGAACTATTACATCTCATTATAATTTTCCACATGTTGAGTTCTTTCATAGAAAACTAAATAGGCCAAGTTTATATGAAAACATATATATATATATATATATATATATATATATATATATATATATATATATATATATACCATAAAATGTATTGTGGTTGCATATGCATCATGTGAAGTGCATCTTCGAGTTTAGTTGCGCTCATTAGGTTCCCATGGATGACCTCTTTATTAGTAGTTAAGTTTTCAAATTGTAAAAATGGGCGATTTTTACTAATTTGTGTCAAGCAACAAAAACTTGGTTAGGGACCAAACATGTTGACCTATTGATTCAAAGCAGTAGTGGGATATGGGCATGGAGGTGGATCCCATTTGTATGTTCGGATGTCAAAAAGTCTAGTGGGTCCCCGATCCCATACGAAGTATTTGATATAAAAATAGGTGGTGTCGACGGTAAGGTTAGCCTGCATTTTAATTTCGAGGGTGGGGACTATGGTTAGCAATCTCGTCCCGAACCCCTTATGGGGCTCCATTAATATATATATATATATATATATATATATATATATATATATATATATATATATATATATATATTAATAATATAAATATAATGAATAATAACAATGATCTTGAGCTTCCAAAAGTCAACAAAAAATTATGTTTTAAAGTTGATAGTATAATGTTTTTGAGATGTAGTAATATTTTTGTTTTTAACATGTAAAATTATGTTATAAATAACTATTTTTAACCCCAAAAAATAGCTTCTTGAACCCTAAAAAACAACTTCTTTTAGTCCAATAAAAATATCTCAAAATCAATTAGGGAGGGGGTATAATCCAAGAATTTGGGGCTATAGGTGCAGGTGGGGAGGCTGTAAATTTCATGGGCGGCACGGGGGCAGGGGAATGGGCAAATTTCAGGTTGGAGGGATGCAATCCTTGTCTCGTTTTCCCCCATTGACATCCCTATTTGTATTGCAATTACTATTTTGGCAAACATGTTGGGCTCGTAAGTAGATCTAACATGACCCCGACTTTAACCACATTGATTTTCACGACCAAAGCAGGTACACCTACCACACTCTCTACCACAAGAATACACACATATGATGTGGTTGGGAGTGTGAAGAGTATACAATCTTGAGTCATTGATTTTTGTCTGTGTGTTATGTTGTGAGGCATGTTGAACATGCATGTCTTGTTTTGTTCGTGTCATATCTTCTACAAAAACTTGTGAAGGCGTTTTTTTGAACCTTATCAAATTGTTGAATGAAGGTGGAGACAATATCCAAATCACCTTTTGTGAAGACGGAAATAAGTTGGAGTACTATCTTGGTTTCGAGATAGAGTTTCCATCAACGAAAATCTTGTCGTTTAAACTTGTTCAATTTGTCAAACTTGCTTTTCATATCCTTCACAGGATCACCACTTGCCATGAACACAAAATACTTTAATCTTTGTTAGAAAATCGAGGTATATATATACTTGGATCAGTGAGACTTGTAAAACACTTTCATAATAAAGCATTTCTAGGGTACAATCAAAATCTCTAATTAGATGAAACTCATTGTTTCTTCTAGAATGGAGAATGAAGATTTTGTTATGAAATCTATACTAAAAAAATGAATCTGAAATTGATCATATAATAAAAAAACTAACTTCCTATCTTAAAATTGCCACATGGTAGTTACAAGAAAAACAAATTCCTATCCAAAAACTGTCATATTGTCTGGCACAAACTAACATAATATCGGGTTTATAAATGGATCACAAAACCGGGTGTATCTACAAAAACTAACATATTACTTGTCATAAACTAACATAAAGCTAGGGGCACTACCCCTTGGACCCCGCCAGGGGCTGCCGCCCCTTGAACCCAGCTCACAAGGTGCTGCCCCCGAACCCCGTCAGTTCAGGGGTTTTACCCCTAAATAGCACTATACTTTCAACAATGACCAAATCAAACAAATGTGCACTCCGCACCATACTAATTTTGTTTGGTAATTGTCAAAATGATATTAATCAACAAAATTAACCCCATTACATATAAATAATATTAGTGATATAAAATCACTAACAATAGCTAGAAAGAAAAAAAATTATGACTATGACACAAGGTTCTAAAAGGCGTGAGGCGTGGCGTGGCGGCAAGGCCAAGCCTCAAGCTTAACAAGTTATGACGAGCCATGGCGTTTTTCAAGGCGTGATGTAAGGCGGTGATTTTGTATTAATTTATAATTATATTACCGCATAAATATAAATTTATATCAAATATACCTAGTTTTTAGAAGTGTTATATCAACAACTAATAACAGAAAGCTAATAAAAAACACAATACTTGTATGTCCGATTAGAAAATGTATAAAAAAAGAGCAAAAAAACGTGTCTCAAACGAAAAAACACGCGTCATAACACGTCATAACGCGCCATGGCATGCCATATCACGCCTTGCCACGCGCCACGCCTAACATCAACGTTATAAAACTTTTCGTAACGGCGACGCCACGCCTCACGCCATGACGCGCCTTTTAGAACACTGCTATGACACCATAAAAGATATCATGTACTTGTAGAGTTGTACTTTTAATTGTTAATTGTTAAGTAATTCTTCTTAAAAGAAATTTCTCAATAGTAGGTAAATGATAAAACCTTTTAAATAAGGGAAGGAAATAGATGTTATTTTTACATAAATAAATACAATGTATTTAGAGATATCATTTATATTTTTACTTTTTATTCCTATTTATCTTATTTTTTTCTTAAACGACAAATTAACCTACTCATAATTTACTCATAAACACTATCTATATTTCATAGTAAGACTTAAACTTATGACTTCTTATTTGAGAGTCATTCCTTACTATTAGGCCAAATACCACAACAGATGTCAAAACTAATAGAGGAGATTATGAGAGAAAATTAATAGAATCTACATGTAGAAAGATATAAGTAGGATTAGATCATTATTTTATATAACTAGGAGGATAAATAGAAAAAAAAAATTAAAAATATTTAATTTCTTCATATATTTATAGTCTAATAGAAAACATAGCATATTTCAACTCCTATTCTGTACTTGAATCTGGTTTCTTGTTGAGAAATTGATGGTAACTAAAACCCTCAAAATTTACAACCGTGACAATATTAAATGTCCAAATCTGTTGGTCAACTTCACTGACGTCCAACTGTCTCATAACTTCCTTAATATATAAAACATATGTACAATTTAATTTAATTTAATTTAATTTAATTTTTAACTTATGAGTATGACCTTTAGATTACCTGAAACTAGTTGGGGTCATATACCACCCACCAACATATAAGAGAATATATAGATACAGATGCTCATGAACGCATATTATATAATATGTTATTTAGAATTAGTGTTGATATAGTTAAAATTACAAGGTTTACACTCGGACTCCCAGTGAGTATATGATTTTTGCTATTCCTCCATCTAGATTCTCCTTTTAAGACATATATGTTACAGTGAGAAAGAAAAAGTTATATAGATCGAGAAGGTGAAATACGACTTATATATTTCAAGGTTTGCGATGCTGGGTGTAAATGTAGTCCAGGTGAGCCTCAGCAAGAACTCTTCTCTTCAAACACTCTTCGTCTCCACTTCCACAGTTCTCCATGCCCATAAGCTCCTATAAATTAAATCATTCCCAAATAAAAAGATAATCAATAAACACCTAATAGTTAGTTAATTGGTATAAGAAACTTAAAAAAGAAGGTAATTTACATTCATGGAGTTGATGGTGTCGAACTCAACAAGAGATCCCTCACTGCTGTTGATCGATTCATCGTGTTCCACCATCTTTTCACCTGTATATTCATCCAAAAACGTTAGATTTTGTTAAGAAGCTTATCAAGTTAAAAGGAAAAAGGTTTGATTACCTGGTTTGGTGTGCAAGAAACGCGCAGATGTATGTGAAAAGACAATAAGGGAAAGCATGAAGATTAAAGGAACACCATAACGGACGCTGTGCTTCATTGTCTCACCTCTGGGGTGTTGCTGAGAGAGAGAAAGAAAGAGGGAGAGAGAGAGGGGGAGGAGGGTGTGTTTGTGGGGTTTGTAAATGTATATATGTTGTTGGGAGTTGGGGTAGCTTAAATACATACAAAGCGGGGTGGGGGGCACTGATGTATTGATCCAGATAGACTCCCAAAGAAGCTGCTTATATATAATTTAATATTAATCTCTCTCTCTCTCTCTCTCTCTCTCTCTCTCTCTCTCTCTCTCTCTCTCTCTCTCTCTCTCTCTCTCTCTCTCTCTCTCTCTCTCTCTCTCTCTCTCTCACACACAAATTTTATGTGGTTCTATATATCAAATTGTCTACTTCCTTTTTGATATTCTATCTTTTTTGATTGATGAACTTTAGACAAGTAACTTATAGTTTAAGATTTTCTTGTAATATACATGTCGCATTTATTATAAAATGTACTGGGGTATAAGATATTATTCGTTTTTTAATACTATATTTTCTTGTTTCTAAGAAAATGATATGGGTTTTAGGACAAGTTCTTATGCATCATAGACTTTATTATGCGTAGTGGTGGAGCTAGATGGGTTGTTGGAGTACAACTTTACCCATAAAATAAAATTTATATATTAAACTATACATATTAATTTTTTGTATATATGTAAGCTTAAGTACCTTGCACCTCCAGTTCGAAGTATTAAACCTTGTTGCTTGCTTTTTTTTTCTTCTCATGAATCAAAATGATTGCTACCAAGAGTTTAGAAACAATAGTAAGATCCGTATTCCACCATCAATTGGAAAACTTTTGTTAAAAAAATTACAATTTCAAAAAGCTTTAAATTTTATCCAGATTTTAATGATCCAATTGTTATTTTAAATTTTGATTATGCTTATGTCCATATTAAAGTTTTTGGTTCCGTCACTAATTATGCGATAACATTTTGTTAAATATCACAAAATTTATTGTTATATATGATTTTAATTTTAGAAAACATATATGTTTGTAATTATGGGATAACATTTGTGATTATGAAACATTATGATTATGGTATAAAAAAAGGCTCCGATTTGCATGGAGGTATGATTACGGTGATGATGATGATAAGTCATGTGAGACCATTATTCATAGAGAGTGGTGTTTGGTCATTGTCAAAGGGTATAGTGGTCCTAATCTTGCAAGAATCAGTGTGTGATAGTGGCTGACAGCATCAACCCAAGTCAACCTTTCCACGTACCCACAACTGTTTCCCATCTTACATATTCGACCATTCACCTTTTACCCTCTTTTTTTTCACTTCTATTATTTTACTCACAGATCCCGCTTTTTTTTTTTATTATAAAATTAATCTCTTTCAACCCACATAAATTAAAAAAATTTATTTATTAAAATAATAGTTTAAATTTTGTTTGTATTTAATCCTTATTTTTTTTAACTTACATATTATATCAACATTTTAAATAACGTTAAACATAACTTGACTGCAATATTAAACTTTTAGCACTTTAAGTTTTTATGAGAAGCTGCAAAAATATATTGTTTATATATATATATATATATATATATATATATATATATATATATATATATATATATATATATATATATATATATATATATATATAAATAAAAGAGGTTCATTCTTACCGTGTGATGAAAACTAAGACATAAGATGGGGAGTTATCTTTCACTAGTTTAATTGAAAGAAAATCATATGTGGGGGGATTTAGTATGGCTATGTTCTCTCAATCCATGTTGGTTTGAAGATCATTACTTTATTCCTTGATGTTTTGGTTTATAAGAGTTCATCACTAGAGCTTGAAGGATTAAATTTGTCTCTATAAATCCCTAATCTCCATAGACATGGTTTGATCTTAAGCTCCAGTAAGATTTTCATTCTTCATTTAGTCAATAATAGAGTTTCTAATTCCTATTATTTTCTTAAAACATCACTTCATCAACAACTATCCGTAGAGTTATGTCATTGAAGCTTTGATGAAGAATTTAGGCCTAGGTTCTTATTTAAGCAATTATTTGACGAAATCAAGTGATTTGTATCTTAGATTTTGAACTATAAACAGTAATTCATGATAATTATTTAAACTATTGTATCTGGTGGTGATTATTGAGTTCACTTGTAGTGTTAATGTTTATAATAAACTCTAATAGAATTATAAAGATTTAATGGTGGATTCTTAAACTCTAGGTTTATGATTTCATTTATGGATCCATTGTAATTTAACTTATAGGTTTATATTAAGTATGTAAAATATGTTTTGAATTTAATAGTTCTGATTCTAAGTCATGATGTTGAACTCATTTGTTTGACTGAATGAGAGTTTTTGGTGGTTTAATGGAGTTTTAAGTTCAAAAGTGAAAAAAAAACACCCATTATCCACTGATTTTAGTACTTAATCATGCTATTAATTTCTTAATATGTTTATAAATTTACTCATATCATCACCAATGCAAATCATTAATGAAAACTCAAACTAGCCATCCTTTTTGAAGTTTTAAAGTATAAAAATGAAGTTTTAGAAATAACCTCTTGATCCATGATCCAGTGGTGTTAATGATGGTATGAGTGAATTAAAACAATTAGAATTAGGTTTAGAAAGTATCTTTATCATTTAAAATATTTAAAATTTGCCTTTGAGGTGTTAAAATCATATTTGGTAAAGTAGTTTGTTATTTTTGGTCTATTTAGTGTGAGGTATCATTCATAAAGGTCATGTGAATTCCCTTTGTAGGACACATGAGTTATGTGCTTTTCTATATCCAGACTATAAGAACCTTGAAACTTGATATTTAGGCATCAGGAAGGCAATCGGTCTTATCAATAGATGCCTTAAGGATAAGTAATGCACCTCTAAGGGTGGAGTTAATTAAGTTCAGTATCCTAATTAGCACATCATTGATTATATTAGTGTTAACTATATCTTATTAGGTGTGTATAGGTGTTCCGTATTAATTATATATCTTATAAGAATTCATTGGAGGATAGACTACACAATTAAGTTGAGTACTTTACCCCATCAACACTTGTCCCGGATGTATGATATACTTTGACTTGTGTTTTCCTTATGTGAAATAATGTTTTTATACATTATTTGAATATTATATGTATAATGTGCTCCATTCGTTTCATGAAAATTCTTTGATGTTATAATTCCTAATCTAAGGCGGTGGCTCAAAGGTCAGTCATTATAAGGATTATGGCTCTTAGGAATGTAAGATCTAGACCCTTTTGGGTGCGGGTGATGTATTAGAAGTGATCTGGGTGTTCAGTTTGTGTTTTGGAGTCTAGGGATATTTCGGTAAAGTGGTAGTTCGGGTTTTTGTAGAAAATGGATTTTTGTTCGGAAGGTCTAAAGAGAGGTTTAAGTTGTTAGAAGTATAGGGCTTCTCCTCACCTTTTCGTGGATATAATGAATGTCGAAATCGGGCTTATAACGAAGAAGTTATGGCATTCAGAAGTTTCGTGGTTTTCAGGCTTAGCCAAGTACACAGGGGCGTACACAAAGTTTATGCGGGGCGTACTAGCAAAGAAGGTAGTACGCTGGATGTACTCTGGAGTACGTTGGGCATACTAACCAGGAGGATTGCGAATCTTCCCCGGAGTACGTTGGGCGTACCATATGTACGTTGGGCGTAGTCCAGTCATATCAGAACTCTATTTTAGGGTCTTGGACCCTATTTACACTCCTTATCTATTAACCTAACCCTAATATCTTCAGCCTCCACCCCTCTAAACCCTAGAAATCATATTATACCATTCATGGTGGCATTTTGAGCTTATGGAGTCCATTTTTGGAGTGTTTTGCTCATTTTTCAAGAAGGTGGAGTTAGATGCACAAATGGAGATCAAGAAGAAGCTTATAGATCTGGCTTTTGTGACTCATTTTCGGATTGATGAAGGTATAAAGCTCTAAACTTGAACATTGAATGCTTAGATCTATTATGTTGAGTTTTTGGATCTTTTTCATCCCAAGAATGGAGCTTTATGGTTCCAAATCCGTTTTTAGGCTTGGGGTTGCCACCCTTGATGCTATTTGAGTCCCTAAGACAGAAAGTTGTCATCTTGATGGTCTTAATGGGTTCATGCTTGAGTTAGGGTGACTTTTATGGAAGTAGAATACCATTTTTGGAGTTTGGGTTTGTTTGGGGCATGCAAAGTCACCAAGTCAATGACTTTATGGGTTTAGATGTTAAGTATAGCTCAGATCTGTGATTTGGACTTGTTGGATCATGTATTAAGCACTTAATGGATGTTATGCATGAGTTGTTTGTACGTTGGGCGTACTATGCAGTACGATGCACATACAGTCCATTTGCTCAGTACGCTAAGCGTACAGAAGAGGTACGATGGGCATACGCTCTCAGGAGGACTTGGGCCTTAGTGAACTTCAAACCTTTGGGCCTTAATGGTTTTGGGCCTGAACTTGCGGTTTGTTGGATCTGAATATATCTTGGGCCAATATTGGAATAGTTGGGCTTATTGGGCCTTGTGGCCCAATATAGATATGGACTTCACGTTTATGGGCCTCAGTTTGGGCCAATTCTTGGAATAGGTTGTTGTGGGCCTTCGTGGGCCAATTGGGTTAGGATTATTGACTAAGGAGAATATTGAGCATTAGTATGAGGTCCATTAGAAAGGTCCGGGCCAAATTTGGAAAATTGGGTCATTGATGGATTTATGGACATTATAATGTTGGACATTATAATTTGATGATCCAGTCATCTAGCGGAGTATAGATGACGACCATGAACTATTCTAGATAGTCTAGTGGAATGCTAGCAGGCTTGCAACCTGTAGGTGTTTATTTGAACTGTGTGCTCACCAGTAGTACTCCATCCCCCACATGGTTGCCTTATTTGACATGAATTGTTGAGGAACCCCCGAAGCATGTGTTGTCACACCGATGAAAGTCCCTTAGACTAGGTCCCTTGTGTTAGATGTTTTAGGGACGTAAAGTGAGGATAACGGGAACGGGTAATCAGGTTTTTTTTGTTTGATAAAGTTAATAAACTTATTCATTGTGGGTTGAAAACCCTATGTACTCACCAGGTTTCCCAATCTGACCCACTCAGTTTATTTATATCACAGGTGTTGATATGAAGTCACATTACACTAAGAGATTAAGGAGATATAAATCTCTAGTAATAATGAATGTAAGTTCTGTTTATGCTTATGTTTCTGTATTGACGATGACATCCCCAATGTTTTAAAATGAATAAAAATACTTTTCTTTGGAAATGCTTTGATAATGTATTTATCATG